CCTCTCTAAAAATCAGTGGGAAGGATATCCTCTGGGGAGGATTAACCAAATGCTTCTCTCTATAAAGTGCCGGTGCACTCAAGGCCAAGAGCTCGCCGGCCCCTGAGACGCCTTCCAGTGTGTCTGTCTTGGTGGGGCTTCCGTGACGATAGTGGTGTATTTGGGGGGCGCAGCATGTTGAGAGGGAAGCTAGGACTAGATAGGCAATTTTTTTCAAATTCTCATTTCTTTCTCCTCAAGTGGCCAAGTGTGCGCCTTCCGAGGGAAGAAGGCCCTGCTGAGGGCGGCCTGCAGCGGGGGAGCAGGCGGGCGTGTGCATCTAGACGCCTGTCCCGGGCCCCCCTCGAATCAGGGTCTCTGTTCCAGGCTGGGCTGCCCGGGTTCTACGACCCGTGTGTGGGCGAGGAGAAGAGCCTGAAAGTGCTCTACCAGTTCCGGGGCGTCCTGCACCAGGTGATGGCGCTGGACAGCGAGGCACTCAGGATACCCAAGCAGTGTGAGTAGCCGCCCCGTGCGGGGACGGGAGAGGCCCTCCTACCACGGGACCGGGGACATCCATGTGGAGCCACAGCCACCTGCCCGCCCTTCCTGCCTGGGAGCACACGGGCGTGGGCGACTCCCTCGGGCCTGGGATGCGCTGCCCTAGGGGTCAGTCTTTCTCAGGTGGAATTACAGGGAGCGCTTTCCTTGAACTGCAGCTCAGGTGGCAGGGTATGAAGCAAACCCAGCTGCTTCTTTACGTTCCAGAACCATCCGTCGGGCTTCTGGTCTGCTGGTGGCTGCACCCAAGTAGAGGCAGGCTGTGGAAACAGTTGCCTTTTGCTGCACCGAATCTGTCTTTTCTCTTGCAGCTCACAGGATCGATACAGATGGATAAAGTGCTTGAGAAAAAGAATTACAGGAGGCTGCGAAGATCTTTTCCTGGGCGTCTACAAATTTGGAAGCAGGGAAACCTAGACGTCACAAGTTTATTTTATATTATTCCTAAGGAGGTGGTACCCTATCAATTATGTGAAGGGACACAGACACCCGGTTTTGTGGGTGCTGCAGGCAGACTGAGGCAGCCCTGCCAGGACCAGAGCCTCAGCACAGCCGTGTCTGTTTCCCAAGGATCATGTCCCCGAGGGAAGGGCCCTGGGCCCCGGGCGCCACCCCCTCGTTCTTGTGAGGAGTCGCCGTGGAACATCTGCCCTCACACCGGACCGGGACTGCCTTTCCTGCCACCACCCTGACCTGGAAAGGAAGGAGAGAACAGCCTGCAGCCAAGCGAGCATCTGGGTGGTGGACTTGCGGAAACCGCCTTTTCCTGCTG